TGAGGAGACGCCATTCACTTGTGAACAAAAGACCCGGATGATTTTGTCGTCTGCTCTGGGGTTAACACTAGTTTGTGTCATCGCTGTAGGACTGCTGGCAGGTCCAGTATCTGCTTCAGGTTTTCCTTCTCCCGGCCTGTCTACTTCTAGCTGGTGAGGGACACTAGGGTCCCACATGTTTCTTTATGAAGTGGTCATGACAAGTCATGCAGCTGCAGCACTGGGGGATGTGGAGTTTATCTAGCCTAGTAGATTCTGAAGACCGAGTTAGTGGCACACTGGGAACAGCATCAGCAAAAGGGGTTGCAGGGTTAAGGTTTCATAGACCCGGGTTCCCTAAGCTGCTCTGCAGCTCCTAATCGAGCTCACCCTACATTGCAGCACGGCAGACTGCACCGCCATCGCTCTTCTTCCCAGGAAGCTCCCTCAGCTACTGTTGCTAAGGGCATGGCTACACTTGCGAGTTAGAGCACATTAAAGCGGCCCTGTGTGCTCTAACTCACGACCCGACCACACTGGCAAGGCACGTAGAGCGCTCTGACTCTGTGGCTACAGCGCTCCTGGTAATCCACCTCGGCGAGAGGCATAACACTTCGTGCGCCCTGGCTGGAGCGCCACGGTGTCAGTGTGGACGCCCTCCTCTGTTAATGCGCTCTGATCGGCCTCCAGAAGTGTCCCACAATTCCTGTTCTTGCCACTCTGGTCATCACTTTGAACTCTACTGCCCTGCCCTCAAGTGACCAACCGTCAGACCCATCCTTTAAATTCTCTGGGAATTTTGAAAATCCCCTTCCTGTTTGCTCAGCCAGGCGTGGAGTGCTCTCAGCGCATCTTTCCAGGTGACCATGCCTCCACGCGCCTGGTGATCCCCAGTATGGAGCAATGGCGAGGTGCTGGACCTCATCAGTGTTTGGAGGGAGGAAGCTGTCCAGTCCCAGCTGCGCTCCAGCCGTAGGAATTACGATACCTTTGGGCAGATATCAAGGGACATGATGGAAAGGGGAGCACTGCAGTGCAGGGTTAAAGTGAAGGAGCTGCGGAATGCCTACCGCAAAGCCCGTGAGGCAAATAGCCGCTCTGGTGCTGTCCCCACGGCCTGCCATTTCTACAAAGAGCTGGACACAAAACTGGGGGACGACCCCACCTCCACTCTGAGTACCACCATGGACACTTCAGAGCCCAGTTCAACAAGGCAGGAGGAGGAGGAGGAAAGCGGGAGTGAGGGTGCTGAGGAGAAGGAAGACACCCCTGCATCCCTAGATGCATGCAGCCAGGAGGAAGGTAACCAGTCGCAGTGGCCGGTGCTTGGGGAAGGACAAACACCAGAGAACGTGCCCAGTAAGCGGCTTTTATTTTGGGAAGGAAGTTATTCGGTGCGGGCTCTTGGGGCGAGCAGGGTTAGGGCTGCATGATGCCTAGATGCGGAATAGGGCGTTGATGTGCTCTCACATCGCGGTAATCGGCCTCAGCGATCTCTTCAAAGGTCTCAGCCAGAACCTGGGCAATGCGCTTGCGCAGGTTCCTTGGGAGAGCCACTGTGCTCCTTATCCCAGTCAGGCTAACATGTCCGCGCCACTGTGCCGTGAGGGGCGGGGGGACCATTGCTGCACGCAGGCAAGCTGTATGTGGGCCAGGGCGGAAGCCGCATTGTAGTAGAAGACCCTCCCTTGCTTCCCAGGTCACCCTCAGCAGCGAGATATCTTCCAGGACCAAGTTCTGTGGAAAATGTGGGGACAGTGTTGAGTATAGGGGCCCCCTGCAGCTGTTGGCTCTCCCCATGGCACAGGACCCCAGAGGACAGTACGGCCCTGAAACAATCAGTCCCCCTTGCCCCTGTGCTTACTCACCATTTTGGGGCTCCGGTGGGTTATGTGCGCTCGCTTTGGGACAGGCAAATTCTGCTATTGTGTAGACTGTGCTTGTCTTTAAGTATGGGCAAATCATTGCTCTGTCTGGTGGGAACAATGCTGCCTCTGTTAAGTGTTGCATTTTGCCTTTACAGATGCAACCTTGAGATCCTTGTTATCAACGGCCGAAAGGCTGCAAAGAATTAGGAAGAGGCCACGTAGAAGCAAAGAGGACCTGCTGCATGAAGTAATGTAGCAGTCACTTAACGGGAATCTAAAAGTGCAGAGTGGTGGGAGAGTGAAAGGAGGATCCGCCAGCAGAATGCGGAGCGCCGGCACAAAAGCACGGAGCTCCGGCAGCAAAGCACAGATAAGCTGATAAGCAGCATGGAGCGCCAAGCGGACTTGATCGAGGCGCTTGTAGCCATGCAAGCGGAGCACTACCGCGCCCGCCCCGCCCTGCAGCCCTTAACTCTTTCCCTTGTGTCCCCATGTCACTGCCAACCCACTTTCCCCAACATCCGGGTTCTTATCGCCACCAGCTGCCTCCAACACCTGTAGCTTCACCACCCAGCCCTGAAAACTACGACCCTTACCCACTGCACTCAACCCCCATCACCATGCATTTTAGCCAGCCTGAAGTGCAACACTCATTGCATGGCACTCCAGACAGGAAGGCTGAGTATGATAACAGGACATATGCACATCTGTGATTGTCCCGTTCCCCACCCCGCCCCCTTGCCCTTTCTGTTTCCCAAGCAGTCGTGTTCCTTTTCAATAAATGGATTTTTTGGCTTTGCAAACATTCTTTATTATTGCATAAACTAAAAGATACCTTAGCCCAGGAAAGCAACAGGCACTGCAAGTCAGTGTAGCAAACAGAGATTCCTACTCACATTGGAACCACTGCACTTCACTCCCGTGCAGGGCACCAAACATTACTGGTGGCTTTCAGCCTCAAATTGCTCCCTCAAGGCATCCCTAATCCTTGCTGCCCCGCGCTGGGCCCCTCTAATAGCCCTGCTCTCTGGCTGTTCAAATTCAGCCTCCAGGTGTTGAACCCCCGAGTTCCATGCCTGAGTGAAGCTTTCACCCTTCCCTTCACAAATGTTATGGAGGGCACAGCACGCGGATATAACCATGGGAATGCTGTTATCGGCCAGCGGCCCTTTAAACGGCCAAAGGCACACTCCACAGTCATTCTGCACCGACTCAGCCTGTTGTTGAACCGCTCCTTGCTGCTGTCAAGGCTCCCTGTGTAGGGTTTCATGAGCCACGGCATTAAAGGGTAAGTGGGGTCTCCAAGGATCACAATGGGCATTTCGACTTCCCCTATGGTGATCTTCTGGTCTGGGGAAAAAGTCCTGGCTTGCAGCTTCCTGAACAGGCCAGTGTTCCGAAAGATGCGTGCGGCATGCACCTTTCCAGACCAGCCTGCGTTAATGTCAATGAAACGCTTGTCAGTGATCCACAAGCGCCTGGAGAACCATAGAGAAATACCCCTTCTGATTTATGTACTCAGAGGCTAGGTGGGCTGGTGCCAGAATTGGAATATGCGTCCCATCTATCGCCCCTCCACAGTTAGGGAAACCCATTTGTGCAAAGCCATCCACAATGTCACGCACGTTGCCCAGAGTCACGGTTCTTCTGAGCAGGATGCGATTAATAGCCCTGCACACTTGCATCAACACAATTCCAACGGTCGACTTTCCCACTCCAAACTGGTTAGCGACCGATCGGTAGCTGTCTGGAGTTGCCAGCTTCCAGATTTCAATAGCCAACCGCTTCTCCACCATCAGGGCAGCTCTCAATCTCGTGTCCTTGCGCCACAGGGTGAGGGCGAGCTCATCAGACAGTCCCATGAAAGTGGCTTTTCTCATCCGAAAGTTCTGCAGCCACTGCTAATCATCCCAGACTTGCAGGACGATGTGATCCCACCACTCAGTGCTTGTTTCCCAAGCCCGAAAGCAGCGTTCCATGGTGGTGAGCATGTCCGTGAATGCCACAAGCAATCTCGTGTCGTATGCGTTACTCGAGTCGATATCCTCGTCGGAGTCCTCACTGTCAGTTTGGATCTTAAGGAGTAACTCGACTGCCAAATGTGACGTGCTGGCGAGACTCATTGGCATATTTCTCAGCACTTCGGGATCCATTCCCGCAGACCGAAAGGGAAGACACAGCGCGCAGCACAAAATGTTGAAAGATGGCGCCAAATGTGGACGGAAGCACAGGGATTGCTGGGATGTGAACCGATGCATCATGGGGCGTTGGGACAGGACCCAGAATGCTCCACACCTCCTGCCCCCGTCCCACAAGCCACAGCGCCAGAATGGGAAGAGGTGCTCTGTGGGATAGCTGCCCATAATGCACCGCTCCCAGTGCCGCTGCAAGTGCCAGAAATGTGGCCACGCCAGTGCGCTGTCAGCTGTCAGTGTGGACAGACTGCAGCGCTTTCCCTACTGCGCTCTGCGAAGGCGGGTTTAACTCACAGCGCTCTACATCTGCAAGTGTAGCCATGCCCTAATAGCATGACAAGCTAGCTCCTGCTCTGATGGCCCATGGTCAGCCCATCTCGTCCCCTTGCCACTCCTCACTCCACTAGTCCAGCTTCCCTGTTCCCCCACCCCCGGAACTTCATCCCTCACCACTAGTTTGTTCCCCTTTCCTGATTGTTATGAATTCTGGAACAAAGGGGTCAATCTTTAAATGCATTCTTTTGGGAGTCTGCAAAGTGACTGAATACAGTGTCAGAAGCTGGGGATGAGTCACAGGGGATGGATCACTTGATGATTACCTGTTCTGGCATTGGCCACTGTCAGAAGACCGGATACTGGGCTAGATGGACATTTGTCGGACCCAGTATGGCCATTCTTATGTTCAGTAATTGGCTTGAACATAACCAGAGCTTCTCTCCCCCCCTGACTCCATTCTGGAGTGTCCAGATCTCATGAACGTCTTATTTTTACTAGCTCAGTCAGAAACAAACCTGCATTTTTGGAAATCTGAAGTTGAATCTGGGTGCTAATCCAAATGGAAGGTAGGGATGGTCACCCATCTCTCCATTACATACAGTGCAGAGCTGTTTTAACTGCAAAGATTAAAAAGGACAAGGGAACTCTGAGCTGGTAGAAAATTTCCACATGAAGTTGTTCCAAAAATAGCCTTTTTTAAAAAGAAGTTCCATGAAAATGTGATGACTTTTTTTTTTAACGTTTTTAATTAAATTGCCAAAATTTCAAGTTTTGGAGTAATTGAAATTTCAGTAAATCAACAGTTAAACATCAATAAGACAAACGGGGTCTGTTCTGAACCTTGCCAAATGAAAAGAGCTTCAGAATTTCTCCATCATGTTTATATTTCAGTCAGCTCTAGTCCAAACTATTTAGGTAGACTGGAGATTCACTGGAGGTGACATCTGCCTTGCTCAGATGCTTTCACCAGTACCATTGCTGCAGTGAACAAGTGGGCAGTTACTGCTTGGTCTTGCATAAGTAGCCATTAGCCTTGAGACTGGCATGTTTATGTTCTGCTCTGCATCCAAACAAGGCAACGTCTAAAGCTTTCTAAACTTTAGCAGATTAAAGGTATGTTGACGCTGCAGTAAAACAAGTGTTAACTTCTGTTAGCTGACTCAGGTTCAAATAGAAATGAAGGCACAGCAACTAGGTTTTAGCTTGGGTTAGCACATCAAGTTAAAGCCTACAGGGTTGGATGCAAGCTACTAACCCAAAGCAAGAGCCAAATTGCCATGTCTTCGCTGTGATTTTACTTGATGTGCTTCCTTGGGCGACTCTTGCTCCGTTTACCTGTCTTTACCTGGGGCGATATCACCTGTTGTGCCATATTTCAGTGGTGGTGTGAAAATTCTTTGAACACAATGCACCATGTTCTGTTACACTTAATTAATGCTGGACACTGCCAGGGACTCGTCAGAACTGCAGTGTCATTTCAATGCTAAGTTGAGTGTTTTGTACTCATTGAATTGCAAGGGAAAGTTGCGTTGTATCTATCAGAAACAGTCCTCCTTTCTGCCAGCTAGTCAAGTGTCTGACTTTCACCCTCAGGTTAATTATTTAATTCCCCTCTGCCATAGAAAGGATCAATTGTAATATTTGCCTGTTCTCGCCTGCTCACATGTAAATGAGGTTTCAGAAAATCTCCACCGTGCTTCTACTCGGGAGAATGTGGAGGTGGATGCTATCCCTAGAGTCAGACCAGATGCAACTTTTAAACGGATTAAATGTTTAATAATTGATCCTTTTCACTGGACCAATTTTCCCTCCCTGACATCAGCAGCCGCAGTTTCTTCTATACTTTGGTCCATGAATTCAGCTTCCACCCTTTTGACGGGAAGTAGCAGGATATTTTGGCCTCACTCGACTGACAGGTAGTTTCATTAACTTAATGAAGTGGTTTTCAAACTTGGGAGTACACAAGCTTTTGTCAGGGAGTATGCAAGAAAAATCTTGTAATGGTGGACTTATCCCTTACAGACCTTCTCCCCCCCGCTATTTTCATAGGTATATTATGACTCTATCTTAGATAGGGGTACGCGTAGACTGTATTATTTGGAAGGGGGGGTTGAAAACCACTGCATTACAGAATTTTCAGGCCATTGCTATAGCTGATCACTGATGGATCCTGGAGATGTTCACAATGGCTGGGAATTCAGGGGTGGGCTGTGTTAAAGCAGTAGCCAGCATGCGATTTGCTTTCAGAACTCTTGACACTCCTTTCCGAATCAGACCAATGAAGACACACTGACCAGTGCTCTCAGGATCAGCCAGGGTGTCTTGGCAAATCAGAAAGTCTGGCAACCTGTTGGTAGTGCTACTTGTACAGAATTAGAGTATCGCTGTTCCTTGCACGTTGGTCCTTTGGGCCCCTGGGGAAGCAGCACTTGCTGGAGCACAGGACCCTATCAATTGTATTGACCGTTTCTAGTTCAAGGTAACCAATCTCAAGGAAGTCAGTGGGAACGGGATCCTCAGCCATTTGGCAGTCACGCTACGTATTTAGCTGCCTTCATTTGCACTCAAGGACTGAACTCTAGGCATGCATTGCATTGCTCACAGTATCCCCAGTGCTGCCTCCATTGCTGTCCCCCCGACTCTACTATGTTACGGCTGTGTTGTAGTGCCCGGTTTTGTAGTGCCTGGTCTTGCTGCCTTGTCAAGTTGTGCAACTGCATCATTCTGCTGGAGATCCCGTGAAACATGCGGTGTTTGGAGACATGCACACACTGCAAGCCAGTTACATTAAGCTCCAAAAAGGGGTCAGGCTTCTCCAGGGTGGGTGGAAGGGAACCTTTTAAACTGGATTATTTAGCAGCGTTATTGGCATCCGAGGTGGCTTTTCATTCCACCCTCCCACCCGTAAAGTGCTGTCAAAGCACCAACAGGTGGGGTGTGAGGAATAGCTGCTGGCTCCCAGTCGGCCAGCACAGCGTCAGCCCAAGGGATGGTAATGAAGCACATTCCACCAGGAATCCGTTCTGTGGTACAGTAAAGAACTCTGGTCATAGACTGTGTGGGGATAGGATAGGACACCCCTCAGTTATACACATCAATATGTTTTAAGAAAAGGGGGCACTTACCTGTCCAGTCTAATGCTCCACCTTCCTCAATGTCACAGGTGGAGAATGGAGCTGAGGAAATCTGCACCGTGAGGGCTTGCAATAGCAGCATTAAGATCACTCCTTGGATCTGACTGCACAGAGAAAAACCATCATTGAGCTAATCTCCTAGTCTGGATTCATCAGTCCCATAGCCAAACCAGGGCCACCCCTCGGACAGATGGAGATTCTCCTTGCACAGCTAGCTTCTCATCTGTAAGCGGGGACGGGGACTTTACGATTAATTCTCCAAGGGCCTTTTATCCTCTTGTCTTGTATGATGTAGATACGCTACCCAAAGGCAGTTACTAGGTTAAGCCTTTGTTTCGTGTGTAGACAAGAATACAACTAACAAACATCCAGTAATGTAGCACTTTTGAAAATTGTATACACAGATGTACACTAGGCAGCGACCACGAGCACTTAACCAAGCACACAAGCCTACGCGAATGGCAGTGCTTCTGGTGTGTGGAGGATTGCATCCCAGAGATGTGCACTAGAGTACGAATAACAGGATGCTACGGCTACCACCACACTGCCTATCAAACCACACCCTTTTGGACTGTTCAGAGTGATGGCTTGGCCAGTGGTAGAGCCTTAAAATTCTCTTCCTCGCTGCTCCAATTAGCAGAAAAAACCTTGCTGCCACCCTGCTTATCTTGGAGTGGGGCCATAACAAACCACACGACCAATCAAACCAAGAAACCAATTGTGACAAGGTCTGGTAATCCCTGCTTTAGACTCTGCACGGTGCTCAGTGTTTATTGTTTTCCTGAATCTTTCTCCTGGCCCCTGAGCCAGTGCACCCCTGGTTAGAGCACAGAGCAGTAATGTCAGAATCTCCATTGTAAATTCAGCACTACTGCATCCCGTTAAAGGAGAACCTATCTCTAAAGCACGTTGCCCAAGGCACAGCCAGGCGACTGTTGAAGGAAGTGTTCCAATCCCATTAGCTGAGCGAACAGGTATCTAAGCCAGTGGAAGACCAAGTGTGATTGACCTGCGACAGATGCTACCATCCTTCTGTCTGTCCCAGAGGAGCATTTTGACCAAATCTGGGCCAGTGGGAGAGCAGTATGCAACATCGTCTATGCTTCACCTTGAAGTTCTCCCCACTGCTTAGGGACCTTCTGTTTTTTTTTTGCTGGGGACATAGGTTTTCATAGCTCCATAGATTTCAAGGCCAGAAGTGGTTGTCTAGTCTGACCTCCCGCATGACAGGCCAGAGAATTTCCCCGAAATAATTCCTAGAGCAGAGTTTTTTAAAAGAACATACAGTCCTGATTTTAAAAGGGCCAGTGATGGAGAATCTACCACAACCCTTGGTAAATTGTTCCAAACTGTTACAAATGTCGGACATATTTCCAGTCTGAATTTGTCTAGCTTCCAGTTCCAGCCATTGGGTCGTGTTAGGCCTTTCCCTGCTAGACGGAGAGAGGTATAACATGATCCAGTGGCTGGAAGCTGAAGCATGGGGCAGCATGGTCTCGACAGGTTTCAAAGCTAGCTGTTAAGAGAGGCTGTCTCCCAACGTCACACAGAGCGGGATAGATCCTGGGCTCCTATTTGACTTTCTCTTGGTCCCCTCCCATACACCAATCCCACAGCTCTCTTTACGTCTAGCTAGTTTTCTTTTGCAGCGACTCCTCTGAATAGCTCCCTCCGGCAACATGAAACGATCACTGTCAGCTGTACAGCATCACCCAGCATTCACAGGGCGGCTGCTATCCTTTTACCTTCCCCCTCAGCCCACGTACTGACAGCTGGAGGCTACCAGCACTGACGTCACTCATTGCCGTAGGTAACGGAGGTAGAAGAAACATAGCGCTCCGCTGAGTCTGACTTGGCGACTTACCTTGAAACAAAAATGAGGCCTGTGGATGTTCCCTCTCCCACCGGGTAGGAGCATTCTACCGCTAGCTCCATAGCAACAGGGTAGATAGAAAATCCAAAGAACCCAAACAGCGAGCTGATCAGAGCCAGTGGAAAGGCCTGGTTCCTGAACTGAGACATCTGCAGGGAGAGAGAGAGAGTGGCCAGGCGTTACATCGGCACAGCAACCTGGCAAGTCTGCGGGGTGCTTCGAGTCGACGTCAGGCAGTCCTCAATATGAAGTCCGCGGTATTTACCATTGCGGTTGGAGGCCTCCCCACCTTCTGTAAAGCTCTCAAGTGTGGCCTATTTGCATGGAACTGCGAGTTAGGGGATGGAGACGTTCGTTTTCTTGTATGCTTGACCCCAGCAACTCCTATTGACTTCAGTGGGACTGGGGCAGGTGTGTGTGTGGAGGGTGGGGGGCGCGGAAATCAGCACTTTGGAAAGCCAGGCTTTTGTTTCATGCAGAGGTAATGCCCCAACGGGGGCTCAGTTTGGCCTCCAGAGAGGTGGGAGCTCAGAAAACTCCCAGTGTTTAAGTTCAGTTTCTTTATGTCTGTGTCCCTGGGGCATTTGCAAAACCCCCAAACCAATTGCATTGACTGCCCTGATGAATTCAGCGTGGACCAAGCTCACCCTGGGTCAGAGCTAGTGGTGAAAAGCAGAGCCCAGTCCAGCCCGGGAAAGAAGAGCTAAACTGGTAAGTCAGGCGGTTCCAGGGGCGAGGGCCTTCTCTCCTCTCTGCACAGTTGGTCCTGACACGTCTCATTTCTCTCCAGAGGCTACTTGAGACAGTGCTGTGCAGCGTTTTCTGAGGCAGAGAAGGACACTAGGTGAGCTCTTTGGCATGTCTGTAGCCAGAATGCTCCACACACATGGCCTGTCCTCCCCACCAAGACATGCTGATTTATAAGCACGGGGCAGACAGGGACCTGCCAAGACTCTGCGTCTGCAATATCCATGTTCAAAACTGTCAAAGTACCCAAGGGATTTGGATGGCAATATTTTAACAGGAGTATCTGTATTGTCACAGCATCAGTCTTGGGCCAGGGCCCCACTGGGCGAGGTGCTGTACAAACACGTGGCAAAAAGACCTAACCCTCTCCCTGCTCAATATTTTAGTACAATATTAGGAAGTGGTTTTTTGTTTCTTCTGGATCAGCATCACTTCCGTTCTGTATCTATCCAGTAGAACCCCTCCGGAATGGAAGTTGTTCGTAACTCTGAGCAAAATCTTATGGCTGTTGTTTCAAAAGTTGACAACTGAACAGTGACTCAACACAGCTCTGAAACTTTACCATGCAGAAGAAAAATGCTACTTTCCCTTTATTTTATTTTTAGTAGTTTACGTTTAACACAGTATCTGCCTATTTTTCTTTTGGTCTCTGCTGCTGCCTGATTACGCGCTTCTGGTTCCAAACAGGGTGTGGGGTTGACTGGTCACTTTGTTCGTAACTCTGAGGTTCTACTGCCTTAGTGCAGATGGAGGCTGTGCTCATCACCTCCTCAGGGAAGGAGGGATCCGCCTGTGGAGACGGCATGAACTGAGAGATCCAGGGTCTAATGCAGCTTGCCCACAGACATCTTGTCCTACGTCGGGTGAGTCACTGTGCCTTTCTTTCCTGCTCTTTACAGTGGGGTGCTAACGGTACTCGACTCACAGGCCTATCGTGAGGCATATTTCAGTCATGTTTGTGGAGCCTGTTGAGATTTTAGAGACAGAAGATGCTATGGATCTAGTGCTCTAGTATCAGTCCATCGAGGAACGAAGAGCCTGCCACCTGCCATACCCACAAAAATGGCCGTCCTGTGGGCCTGACGCTTGCCACGTCTACTTTACAGTCCTGTGCTCGATTTCCCATGGAGCAGTCCCACATTTAGGAGGGTTTCGCTGTCTCCGGCAAACATTTCCATCATCTTTGTACGTATGGTCTTGTGCGCTACCTGGGATAAAAGCCATCAAGACTCATGTGTCAGGGCCTAAACTGATCTCTAGCTGAGTTCAGGAGATGACTTCTCCTAACCCTGGCCTCTATGGGATAGATGCATTACACGGGTTCCCTGCCTTCCTTGGTCATCTGGTACTGGCCACTGTCAGAGCCAACAAGCAGGATTAGGTGTTCAATTATACTTAGCAATTCGAATGCTTTATGCTCCCAAGGCACTGCCCCAATGTTAATTAATGCTCACAACGTTCCTGGGAATTAAATAAATTAACCCCATTGCTCCAGATTGAAAGAAGATGAGGCAACTGTTCCAAGGTTGCGCAGTGAGTTAGTGGCAGATGCTGGAAATGGTGTTCATTGAAATGCCCCAATCCACGGGGAACAATCCCTCAAGTTATACTGTAACAAAGAACCCCAAACCTCATAAACAGCATCATCGTCAGTGAAAGCAACCTAGTAGCAGATTCCGGTGGCACCTTAAAGACTAACAGATTGATTTGGGCATAAGCTTTCGTGGGTAAAAAAACTCACTTCTTCAGATGCATGGAGTGAAAATTACAGATGCAGGGATTATATAACACCACATGAAGAGAAGGGGGTTACCTCACAAGTGGAGAACCAGTGTTGACAGGGCCAATTCAATCAGGGTGGATGTAGTCCACTCCCAATAATAGATGAGGAGGTGTCAATTCCAGGAGAGGCAAAGCTGCTTCTGTAATGAGCCAGCCACTCCCAGTCCCTATTCAAGCCCAGATTAATGGTGTTACATTTGCAAATCTTTTAGTCTTTAAGGTGCCACCGGACTCCCTGTTGTTTTTGTGGATACAGACTAGCACGGCTAGTCTGTGATATTAGTAGCGGATTGAAGTCACAGTCTCTTCACAAAAGAATAAATGGACACAAATCTGACATCAGGAATCATAACGTTCAAAAACCAGTCAGAGAACAATTCAACCTCTCTGGTCACTCAGTAACAGACTTAAAGGTGGCAATCTTGCAACAGAAAAGCTTCAAAAACAGACTCCAACGAGAAACTGCTGAACTTGAATTAATATGCAAACTAGATACCATCAATTTAGGCTTGAATAGAGACTGGGAATGGCTGAGCCATTACACACATTGAATCTATTTCCCCATGTTAAGTATCCTCACATCTTCTTGTCAAACTGTCTGAAATGGGCCATCTTGATTATCTCTACAAAAGTTTTTTTTCCTCCTGCTGATAATTGCTCATCTTCATTAATTAGCCTCTTAGAGTTGGTATGGCAACTCCCACCTTTTTATGTTCTCTGTATGTATATATATCTCCTCACTATATGTTCCATTCTATACATCCCATGAAGTGGGCTGTAGCCCACGAAAGCTTATGCTCAAATAAATGTGTTAGTCTCTAAGGTGCCACAAGTACTCCTGTTCTTTTTTTTTGGAGTTACTGAATGTTTTATCAGACAGCTGAAGAAATGGGCTTTAATTTCATCTTCACAGACCAGATGAAGTGCGACGCAGAACTTACGACTGCAAATGCGATGCTGGCTAGCGCAGTCAGGCAGAAACAGACCTTGGTGGATTCTATAAATTTTCTGGTCTTGTCGACGTACAGTCCCAGAAGGAAAGCGCCAAGTAACCCAAACACCGTGAACAACGCACCATTCAGGCCTGCAAAGAACTACAGGGGAAGATAAATGAGTGTCTGAGAAACTAGAATTAGGAGGTGAGAGTTTGTTACATTACCGATATTTAACTACACGGACAGGTTTATGAACAGTAGGTTGTAGGCCACCATAGTCTATTTAACATGCTTTTCCATTGTAGCCATCACAATATTCAAAACCTCCCCAGGACACGCATTTAGAATAGCAAGCAATTGACCCGGGTGATGACGGTCCCAAAAGGTGTCCAGAGGAAGAGTTCAGATCCCATAGAGACGGGAGTGGTGTAAGACCATACGCAGATAAAAGCAGACTGGGTAAGTGCATCTATGCTGGTCATTTTAACATGGTATACATGGAACAGTGGAGCTGATTTTCCCCCAAAGCAAACAACTGTTACTCTTAAGCAGTTCCCATGTACCATTGCTTTCTAAGTGAATGTGGTAGGAGCCTCTTTAAGTGGTAGTCGTGTACCTCAAAGGGCAAAAACCCATTTTTGATATTACTGTGTTTTTAATAGAGAGCGACTTGAATGGCAAAGTTTCATGAATACAGAGAACCACGTGCAGTGGTACCCATGTGTGTGGTGTGCTCCTCAACCTTATCTCCCTTCGGATTTTCCTCATCTCATTCCTCTTGTGCTTTGTCGTGACTTGCCTAGCCATGCAGAACACCATTGTTTATTCCCCGTCTGGCCGCCTTAGCCAGCAGGGCCCAGTATGGCTTTCCATGCACAGCCTCCTGAACTTCCCTTTGAACACGCCTGGAATTGAGGGAGAAGAGTTCATAGCTCACATCCTCCTCCCGTTGCCCTGAGATCACCTACTGCAATGGAGGGAGCACGGATGAGTTTTGCTGTGACCATGCTGGGTTGGAGACTGCATGCCACACAAACTGATGCTGGAGACCAATGCAAGGCTGAGCCACAAGAGAGGGCCTTGGGGGAGATGTTTATTGGAGAGTATTAATGTAGCCGAGAGGTGACCACCTCTGCTTATGTGCATTTGGCTAAGGACACATACGGCAATGAAATAACCCAGTCCACCTTGCTTTGAGTTTCCAGTTCCCTCTCACCTCTGTCTAAGCCTCTGCCCCATATTTGCACATTGGGAGAGGTGCATAAGGGGCTGCATTTAGCTGCATTTAATGCCTATAAAATCTATTAAAAGCCTTTATTTTACCAAGTAAAATCCAGCAAGAGAAGAGTTTCATTCACAAATGGTGACCCAGCCAAGGATACAAATTAAACATCAGATAACATATCGTATTGAAAGACTGATGATGTACCAGACTAGTATGCTCGTTAGCATATCTCAAATACTGATAACCTAGTTTAGACAAGTGCACCGCATCAAGTGGCTTCATCTTGTTTTGATCACTGTAATTAGTGGAGGTTCATTTCAATTGTATAACAAATAATGCTCAAGATGCAAAAAGGCCTTACGTTTGAATATCCCCTTACACACAGGATCTGTTCCAGAAGAGCCGAAAAGCAGGTGAACATCCCAATCCCTGCTCCAAAACAGACCATCAGGATGACGTACGGTTTATTTCTCAGAAGCTGCAAAGTTCAGAACGTAGGTTTAAAAAAAATAGGTTCGAGTTACTTGGGCAGCAAATCTCAGCACCCGCCCACCTGCTGGCCTGCCCACAACAACAGGATTGCTGAGGGTGACAATGACACCACGCAGGCCAGGCACTTGGTCCTGCCTCGGCGTAGGGGGCTGGACTTGGTGATCTCTCCAGGATGCTATGTTTGATTCCGGGGTTTACCTCTCTGCACTGTAGGACACTTACCATTTTCAAGCCTTTGAAAAACGGCTGCGAGGTAGAATGAGTGGCGCTTGCTGATGGTGGAGTTGGAGGGACCTTGTCGTGAACACCAACTGTGGCTAGGATGCAGGCTGTAACTGCAGGGATGGCGTACAGTCCAAGCTATGAAACCCAAAGCAAAGACACGTAACCAGGTTGCCCGACTCCAATGCTACTGAATATATAAACCCAAATGACATTGCATACTAATTAATCAGCTTTCGCTTACCATCCGTGGTATATCTTTTTCTTCAGACACAAGTGTAGGGGACAGCAAGTTAGCGATAAGAATTCCCAAGGGATTAGCTAGATTGAAATAAACAAGACAATGTTTTCCTATACAAATTGAGAGAATGTTACACATTTACCAAAATGTCACGAGACATCCATTTCATAGCAGCCTCAGCTTAAATGAAGCCATGGCTGGGTGGGAGGGGGATCAGGAACAAGACATCTGTAAGGTTACATCTGGAGGGTAAAACTCACAAAAATACTTAAGTGTCTTAGCCTTTTCTGGAAATTTTACCTGGAATTCCACTAGGGACATAAGACTAGGCAGGATCTCCTGGGTCATTAAGTCCAGGCAATCCTGTCTTATCATCCTGTTTATAAATTTGTCAAGCTTTCCCTCTTCAAGCTAGTTGGGGTGTTTGGCCTTGCAGAACCTCACTCCTCTGATGGTTAGAAACCTCCTTCTAATTTCCAGCCTAAATGTATTCCCGGACACTTTACCGCCATTTGTTCTTGTGTTGCCTTCACTTTTTGATGTAATTGTTCCCCCCAAAGCATGGTAAAAACACATCCGTCCTCTTTTTGAATAATTCTTCATCCCTTCTCACCAAGTTGTCCCAGAAAATAGCTTATGGAAGGAACAAAAATGAAGATGGAACAACTCTAGTTGTCAGGCCCTGATGCTATGCAGGACAGACTCGCATATCCTTTGCCAAGTTCAAGTAAAATACAACATACCTCGTTACTAGCTGACCCACTTTCAAATGTACCGGTATATTACAACATAATGTCTCCGCGGTCGTTGCCACTAACTGAACATCTAATAGTTCTTTACACCGCTTGCACTTTCATCTCACTGTTGTAATGCAATTATCCAACTACACAGCTAGCAGATTTCAGAACCGGATCAGAGAGGGTTTTTCATTGCAAACTTGAACAATTTGTAGACTTCTATAAGCACCTTGCAGCTCAGCCAGACAATCCAGGCTACCTCTGATTCCGTTTCAGTTTTTCCCATGACGACAGTGGATTCTGTTTAGACTGGTTAATTAGGGCCACTGGGGAGCCAACAGAAATAGCAGGTGTTGGGCAAGCTATCTTGGACCATATTCTAGTGTGTTTGCACGACACATTTACTGTTCTCATACTTATCAGTAATGAACAATACCTAGATCTGACACCACCATTTATTTTTCAATCTGTCACAAAGCAACTTTCCAAGTGACATTCCATTAAAAATAACAGGAACTCATCACACACTATACAGATTATATCCCACATTTTAAAGATGCTCAGAGACTTTAAGGAATGTTGACATTTATCAGCTAGGTAGTCAATATTCATTGTAGCACGTACCTTTCCAGTGCACATTTATTCAACAGGAGAATAGCAGGGACACTTTTGATTTTTAAGGATTTTAACTAGCTGTTGCATGCAACGGAGAGAGCTGTCAACAGCAATGCTGTGCCGGGAGAGAAGCTAGCTCTGCAAATGGCAAAAACCCACAGCGAAGGATGGTTTCTAGGTGCAATGTTTTATGATGAACTAGTTTCTGTTCACAGCCTTTTCGAACACCTTGGAAACTAACTATTCAAATTTAGGGAGAAAATTAAGTTATCAGGTTTCCTTTCTTCTGTGTTCTTGATTTTTATTTTCCCTGTCCTGCAGTTAATCTTCCTCCTTTACAGGACCAATGTGTATTCATTACAAGGTGGGAGGACCCTGTTCACACCAGCAGGGTCTACAGGGGGCAGTTAGAGGTCAACACTTCAGAGCGCTCTACAATTCACCGCCCTGTAGTCCAGACTGTGGTGCCGTGTAGACAAGCCCTTACACTGCCAAAGCAGCTAGCCGCTCAAGTCAGTTGTGATTTGGACACCTGCTGACTTGAGGAGCTGGGTTCAAGTGATGGGTTAAGGTTTGGTGACTATTCTGAGCTATTAGCAGTCTGCATGGGATTTGCAGGAGGAAAATGGTCTTGTGGCTAAGGCAGAGGGAAGAGACTGGGAGGTCTGGGGTTTTTACTCCAGACTTTCCATGTGATGAGTAAGTCATGTGACCTGGTCTCCATCTGCAATGCGGAGATACCTGTCTACTTCACGGGGTTTTGTGAAGCTTTAGTTCACTTACACATTGCTGAGAGATCCCCAGGAAGGGCTGTAATTGTGAAGTATTGAGTGTGAATAGCTGACGTAAAGATTTTAGTGATCAACTGACCAACGCAGTCCCTATAATACAGCTCCACAGGCCACGTACACCACAGGCAGGTTCTGCTATGGAGTGACCTCGCTCCAGCTCGGCATGGTTGTAGCTGTTACTTACACATTGAAGAGATCATGTTTGCTGTAGCTCTCTGGTGGTCTGGGAACCACAGGGCTGCTAGTTTTGTGGGAGAAAAAATGACAAGTGGCTGAGCCAGAGCACAGAGGCACTGTCCTATGAACAGGTACGTGTAGGTCAGGGATCCCAAACTCAGGAAGCTGATGACGCTGAAAGTCCGGATGACGCTCCCAACCATGTTCAGCCAGGCACTAAGTATCACCTACAACAAGTAAAGAGGGACTGGAGTCACTTGCTGACTTAGCTGCAGACTGAATTAAGTTCTAGGATGTGGCATGACTCTAGGTGACCAATCTGGCATGTCCCAGGCTCCTAATCCCTTCCCTGTCCTTCAGACGTGTGCAGAGGTGCTGGCAGCATCGTGGTTCCATCCTCCCTTGTTTCATTTTCATCTTTCATTCCATACAGTCTCACCAGGGCCATCAACTGACTGGGTCTTGCATAGGTTGAAAGATGCACTCAGGTCTTCTGAGCCTCAGGGAGCGTGAAGCCACCTTTTATCACATGACAAGCAAGTTTAGTCCTGGCTAACTTAGGAAGCTTATGGCCTCAAAAGACACTGGTAAATGAGCATCAAAACCAATCCCAGTTGGATGACTGAAATAAAGACAGACATTCAAGTTCCATAATGCATCTGTTCTCAATACTCTGATCAAGTTCATGTTTGACTAAAGTTTGTTTGGTATTGGGCAGAGACCATCTCTAAGTGCTTCATGGTAACTTGATGAAGTTTCAAGTTATCAGGAAAGACTTTGTGGAAAATACAAACAAGTGAAGTTCAGGGAGAAATGTAAATTAGTGGCCCTAAAGAGAGAAAGGGGAAGGTATCAGACAGTCATTCCCACTCTCCTTTGTGTTTTCTTTTCTTGTTGTTCCCCACTTCATTTCCTCTTGGACCAGATTCTATTCATTGCAAGGTAGGGAGGATAGTTTTAAATACATTCATCTCACACAACGTTTAGTCAGAATGTCATGACTTGGGCTGCTCCGTACATTCAGAGTATTAGTTAGCAAAGATTACGCTTGCATATACAAAAATACACAACTTTAGTTAGTTAATGCAGCTTCTCATTCCAACTTACAGCACACTTGAGTCCCACGGTGTCGAGAATCCAGGTGGCCACCAGTCCAAACGGGATAGATATGAGAAGGTACACCAGGGACAGCCAGTTAATCGTATCCATGGAGATGTGGAAGTAGGCTGCTGTTTTGTCAGCCACTGGAGCAAACGTCAGCCATAGCTGTCAAAAACAGAACAGAGAGGTTAAGAGTTAACACTCGGTCGGCCAGGGTGAGCTTTGCCCCATACAATCCCTGCATGATTGTGCTTTGGAGGGACACCAGGTAGTGGTGTAGTTTCACCCCCATTGGAAATCAGCCCCCATCCATTTGCTAGTCCAGTGCAAAGGCCAGAATCTCCATTGCTGCTGTTGTCACAGTGATCAGCATTTTCTTGGCTCCTAGCCCACTCCCCAGTGTCGGGGGGTGGCGTGGGGGGGAGCACGGCCACTGGATGGCACATGAATGGCAGAAGCTCCCCTGCAGGGCCAGTCTGCCAGCACCCCCACCATGTCCCTCAGTGAGTCTTCTTCAGTGCAGGTGTCCCACCATGGTGACGATCACCATTTGGGTCAGATTCAGAGGTGATGGTAGGGAGCCTTCCCACTTTCTACGGTATGTACATCACCAGCTTAGGACTCGCTGGGCCAAGTTTTGTCATTTACCCTGGTGTAAGCCCAGAGTAACCCCACTGAGTTACTGTAAGGAAGCTGAGCTGGCCCCATTAGATTGCCTTACAGCCAATTAGACTGACATGTCCGTTACACCCCCGTTGAGTTATGTCATGACTGAATTTGGCCCTTAACCAGTTATTACAGCTACAAGTTGAGAGAGTCTCTAGAGTTTGCTACAAAGAATGTTCCGTGGATGTTGTACTCTACGCACCCAGCCATTATGAGGGCAGAGGCATTTATAGTCTGCTCTTCGCTACCATCGTCCCCTTTAAAAATGCAAAATGCTGTTGATTAGAATGCCAAATTTAAGGCCATAAGGGACACTACTATCATCATCCTAGTCTGACCTCCTGTGTAGCACACATCGTATGATTTCACCAAGTAATTCCTGCACTCCCTTGTGATGCAGGAATGTTAAAGGAATGAGAGCCTTTTAGACATCCCATCTTCACAATGGGACCATTTACCCAGAGCTGCAAGTCTAGCCGGTGGCATAGGCCAAGCACTGTAACAAGCTACAGGATCTTTCCTGCTATGTCAGTAGCAGATATCTGGAGTTATCCAGAACGGATGGAATTATCTGTATTCCCCACTGGGATAATACAAGATCCTTCTTAAAAACCCCAATTTTGAGATTTAACGTTTCCTTCCAAATGACATCAAAATATGCCCTTTGAAGTGGTTTCTAAAGCTCTGTGTATACTGCACGCTTCTTCTGGTGGCATGTAGAATATACACTCGGGTGGGACCCCCGCCCCCCCAGCGTGGTTTAAGTAGCGATGTAGACGGCAAGGCACACCTTAGGTGAGTACAGACACACCGGAAGGGTGTGGGTACGTATGCGAATACATGTATATGGTTCTCTTCTTGCCCAAGCCTTGCCTGCCTGTCTACACTGCTGTTTTTAACCGTGTCGTGTCCTGCTGCCTTCCTCCTGCCACAGCTTATTACCGACACTTGTAGCTACACACCGCAGTGTGGATGCAGCTTTTTTTCCCACTGCAGCGTGTAGCTACACGTCGCCAAATGTAGAGGTAGCCTAATTCCTGAAGATTCTTTGGGCAGCTACAACATAGTTCGTTGGGCAATTTATATGAATCCTGTTTTATTAGTTAGGCTAACGGAGAGCTCATGCTGTGCCTTTTGATCCCATCAGCTTGTTTGCATTCAGAGTACAATGGCTTGTGAATTTTAAATACAGGTGTCGCTACAAAGCCCTAAAAAGAGAGCTTTTTTCCCTCGCGTAATTTGCACGGTGTCAACAACTGGTTTAAATGGAGGTCTTCTCCTGCCAGAGAGGAGCTTGTCTCGCACAGCGTTTTTCCTGCTAGTGAGAGACAGTTCTGGTAGCTTACAGTTTAAAATGTTTACCCATTTGAGATGGCTAAGAGTTGAAGAGTAACTACACACTATCAGTATAATGGGGTTCATTACGCCCAGCGTGTCAGTCCATTTCCACCTCCGTTCCCACGAAGGGAAATGTTAAGGGCACGTTGATCTATTTCTCCAAACTTGGTGCCTCCAGTTCTTCACCTAAATCGGACTTTGTGGCACCTGCATCATCAGCTTGCTTTGCTGAGTGTCCAGAATTCCTGTTGCAATCAGGTGCTCAGCACCTTTCAATATCAGGCAATTTTTCCCTGAGAGCATCCAACCGTGATGAAAAAACTGGGGCATTGTCTGAGTTTCAAAATGCCGGTGTAGACTTTGTTTCAACGTTTTTCAAGACCAGTTGGTCAACACTGAGAATTCACCCCACATAACATTTCAATTCAGAGCCTATTTTACCTGGAGATTGCACAGAATCATAGACATGTCGGGCTGGAAGGGAGCTGGAGATGTCAAGTCCAGCCCCCTAAGCTGAGACGGGACCTACACAGATTATAAAGGCATAGAACTCTCTCAATCTCAGGCCTTTGTCCAGTTAATCGGGGGGGGGGGGTCACAACATTTAATTTGATTGAAGCTATTGCAGCTCTTAAAGATAATCTTCAGCTTTCGGTGCAATATGCGCCGGATACATTTGATAAGCAGGTTTGAGCACAGATTCGTGTTTTCCTTCTTTGGCAGGTTCTTGAAGAGCCGTCTCAGTCAGAGCTAACTTCAGCCACTGTTTCCAGGTCCCCGGGAGAGGTGCAACCTCCTATTCCCCAGCATACCCCTGCAGCCACTGGCTGGTGAGTGAAGTCATGGACGCATTCCCGCTGGAGCAGTCAGCACTGCTGAAAGCAGGAGCTTGCCCCGCCCTTACACCAACTGCAAAAAGCCACATTACACCTGCCTCCCGCACCGGAGTAGCCTATTCCCCTAAGCACTGGTGATGTGGGGGACCTGACCTTCCCAAGCACCCCATGAGATCAGGAGTGTGATTTCCATATTGAAATGGACAGAGGTGAAAGCCAACACTTCCAGAAGGGTCCACGAGCTTTGGGTGCCTCATCTGAGTGCTCAGCTTGACGCTTTAAAGGGGCCGGATTGTTCAAACATGTTGAGAACCTCGCTGCTTTCATCCATCTCAACATCAGGTGCTCGCTGTGCATGATGGGACCAAACACCACGGCACCCAGAACTAGCGGACAAGGCATAAAATCTGTCTTTTAGAGTGTAGCTCAAGGGTACACTGATAGTATCTAAGCCAGAGCTTGAACTCAAGAGTTCCTCTCTTAGTCCCATCCATGCTTGGTCGCCCAGAGTGTGTTGCTTCTCATTCATTGTTGACACTAGCAATAAACTAATTAAAAGACTCTCTTGCCTACAGGTCAAAATGTGCCGTCTCTCCCCTGTGCCCTGATGCTTGAAGAACCAGAGGTTTCTATATTTAAAAGTGGGAACCTGAAAGTATATTCTTAAATGCAAGGCAAGTATTTTTAAAGGCGGGGATTTTTCTCTCCTGACATGCACTAACTCAAACAGTGGAACTGATGTTCACATCAGGCATGGGACTAGAGACATAGGCCCAAAACAAGTTATTTTTCTGCAAGAAAGACCGTGCAGATAAGATCTTATTCTAGCTTTCTTATAAGAGCTGCTAGTACAGCTGCAATAGAAACATTGACACAATTTAAAAATGACGATATGTAAAAACTTTGAATAGAAGATAATTTGCAGGAACCTGCAGAACCAGAAAGATCAAAAGGTTTTTAAATGTGCAGTACAGCAACATTGCTTGGGTGTTCATCCATCTCTCCATCTTTTCTGGAGGAGGACGATCAGACAAACATTTAGGATGGCTATGGCTTTAAAGGAGATAATAAGATGTTCTGAAGTTGCCCCAGTATGCGCATCCTGTCCTTAAAACTTGTTACTTAAAGAATCGCTTCTCAGTACGGCACTGCATTCAACTCAGTCTTTAGAAAGTGCTTCTGATGTATGGGAAACAAAGTGCCAGCAGCAACTGCCTCAGAAGATGAGAAGTACTGTGGTCTACAAACATGTGTGGTGGAATTTTGTTTTGTACAACTGAGAGTTTGAGATGGCTCTACGCGTTCGATAATCAAAGTAATTGTGCAAAGGACTCCCGCCTCAGTGGAAGTGTGATTGCTAAAATTGCCAGCTAGATTAGAGGGACTCACTTCAAGAAAGTGCCAAGTGTCAAGAGGCCAGAACTGCTGCTTCGCTAGCCAAGATAAATGTTTAATTATAACTATACTGTGATGGTACAAACAGGGAAATATTTTGCAGTGTTTGGGAGAATTAACACTTTTAGGCTTGTGTGAGATGATTCACATCAGGAAAACAACGCTGTTAGGAATTTGGATCCGCCTGCCTCTTCCTCGCAGCCGGGAATATCCTGCCCCAATCCCAAGAGTGTAACTCCGTGGCCCTTGGGTTCTCGAAGGAAATCAAATCTGCCTAACAAATTAGATGAAATCCAGAACCACACTCTGTCCGCAATTTGAGTTGTTGGGGTCTTGTGTTTGGATCAATCGTATGGACGTCCCTGAGCCCAGAAGAGTTTGGACTGAGATTGGAAAGTCCCGGCATTAGAGGGATTCTAACCGCATGGTCCAGTTTGGGCCCCTCTATTCTACAGAAAAGTACAAGAAGATCTGAAACAGGGAGTCCAAGCTGAGTTCATATTTGCATGTGCAGTGTTCACTTTTGAGCAAGGAAAGTCCTGGATTTCTACTCAACCCCAATCAGGCTAATCTTACACTCAAAATGTTTGTGACGTAAGCTTTCCTCGTTGCCTTCTCTACGCTCTGAACATAAGAACGGCCATACTGGGTCAGACCAAAGCATGGGCGGCGGGTGAACTGCCGGCCGGGGGAGGCTAGCTCCTGGCTGGCCCCGCCCCCCACCCGAGGACCCTTCCCCCGCTGGAGCTCCCCCATCCCTGCAACCGCAGGTCTCTGCTCCCTCCACTCCCAAGGCTCTTGACTTGCCTTGTTTCCCCTGTAGGCTCCCTATCTTCTTGGCAATCCCCACTTCATACTCAGAACTCACCTTCTCTCCATCCATTCTGAGGTAGCCTGAAATCCCACCTTTGGCTATCTTTCCCCTTCCTC